AGGATTTCAAAAAAGACTCTCTACAGTGACACAACTAGTAACAACTGTGCATGAATTTTTCCAAGTGCTTAATTTATCCGGACAACTAGATGTGCTCTTTCTAGACTTTAGTAAAGCGTTCGATAGGGTACCATGTGAAAAATTATTATATAAGCTGGCAAAAATTGGACTACCGAGTAGTATAATACAGTGGATTCGTGCTTACCTAACAGACAGTTTGTTGATGTCCGTAACTGTAGCTCTGGTGTGTTAGGGCCATTATTGTTTTTAATTTATGATATAATTGATGTTATTTCTGCAGATGTGTCTATTTAGTTGTACACGTATCATAGTGTTATGTAATTTAAGGGAAGTTGTGTAACATGGTGATCATGAAGTGTTGCAGAGATGCCTTGCTGCAATTTCTGAGTGGTGCACAAATTAGGAAGAAAAAAGTGTCCCAGTTAATTTCATTACCAACTTAAAAACAGAACAGTAATCCAAGTCCAAAAATACAAGTCCCCCCTTAGCGTCACACTAACTAATAAACTAACATGGACAATTCATATCTCGGATATCTGCTCAACCACCTTAAATAAATTGTGGCACTAAAGAGAAAACTTAAATATCTGCCGGTAAGAAATAAATTATTAGCTTATAATGCAATCGTAAGATCTAAATTAGAATATGCTGCTGAAGTTTGGGATCCACATCATAAGACTGCCATTCTGAAACTTGAACGACTTCAGAGAATAGCTGTGAGATTTATATATAAAATATATGCCAGGCATGATTACCAGTCATCATTGATGTCACAAAACGCGCAGGAAATTTAATCGTCTTGTACTACTACACAACACCCTAGCTGCGAAAAATAGTGCGGTGTTGCCCTCTTCGGCTTGCAGACCCACTACAAGAAAAACAAGACACAGCCACGAACATTTGTTTGCGCCGATTTTTGCCAAAACAAATGCTCACAAGAACCCTTTTATTACCCGATCAGTGAGCGACTGGAATTCCCTACCTATTGAAGTTTATGAGTCGAATGATTTCATGGCTGCCTTGGCACACCATTGTTCCTTGTGATTTTTTTTGCTGAAGTCAAGGGGTGATTGCTGCTTCTTGCTGATGCATTATGTTCATTTCCTGTTGCACTCTATGTGCATGTATATATATATATATATATATGTGTGTGTGTGTGTGTGTGTGTGTGTGTGTGTGTGTGTGTGTGTGTGTGTGTGTGTGTGTGTGTGTGCGTGCGTGCGTGCGTGTGTGTGTGTGTGTGTGTGTGTGTGTGTGTGTGTGTGTGTGTGTGTGTGTGTGTGTGTGTGTGTGTGTGTGTGTGTGTGTGTGTGTGTGTGTGTGTTTTGTTTTCTCTCTTGTTGTAGTGCCCATCCTACTAGGTCCAAAGTATTAGCCAGCAGAATTTCTAGATAAAATAAAAATAAAAGCCATGGTAGACACTACCGTCTCGAATCACGAACTATGTACACTGAGCAACTTGCAGCCTTGCACAGGGCTTGGCCAGAAAAAACCTGGCATACCCCTCAACTGTTCATCGTTGATGTCAGAGTAGAGCTGAGAGTGGTCTCCATAGGCTGTGATATCAGTCACGTCGTCCTCGGCGTCGTAAACCACGTGTGCCATTGGCTGCATAGTGAGTGGCATCGTTCATCTCGTCTCTAATAGCTAATAAAATTAAGACGATATTAGAGTTCAATCAGCCAAAGGACCAAGCAGGATTTCATACCGGCTACTCCACAATAGACCATATTCCTACTATCAATCAGGTAATAGAGAAATGCGCTGAATACAACCAACCCCCTATTCATAGCTTTCGAAGATTATGAGAAGGCGTTTGACTCAGTCGAGACATCAGCAGTAATGCAGGCACTACAGAATCAGGGCATCGAAGAACCCTACATAAACATACTGAAATAAATCTGCAGAGGATCCACAGCCACCATAGTTCTCCATAAAGAAAGAGACAGAATCTCAGTAAGGAAGGGTGTAGCGCAAAAAGACACGATCTCTACAATGCTATTCACCGCGTGTTTACAGGAAGTGTTCAGAACCCTAGACTGAGAAGAGCTAGGGATAAGAGTTAATGTTGAGTACCCTTGTAACCTGCGATTAACTGATGACATTGAATTGATGAGTAACTCAGAAGATGAATTACAGCTCATGATTACTGAACTGGACACGGAAAGCAGAAAAGTAGGTCTGAAAATTATTATGCACAAAACTAAAGCAATGTGCAACAATCTTGGAAGAAAACAGCCCTTTGTGATACGTGGAGAAACGCTGGAAGTTGTAAAGGAATATGTCTACTTAGGACAGGTAGTAACCGCGGAGCCAAACCATGAGAGCGAAATAACTAGGAGAATAATGATGAGGTGGATCAAATTCGGCAAGCATTTTCAAATCTTGAATGGTAATCTCACACTAACCCTCAAGAGGAAGGTATATAACAGCTGTATCTTGCCAGTACTTACCTAAAGAGCAGGAACCTAGAGGCTTACCAAGAGGGTCCAGCTTAAATTGAGGACAACGAAGCGAGTGATGAAAAGAAAAATGATAGGTGTAACCTTAAGAAACAAGAAGAGAGCAGAGTAGGTCAGACAGAACTAACCGGGGTTAAGGATATCATAGTTGAAATCAAGAGAAAAAAATAGACACGGGCTGGACACCTAGTACGTAGACAGGATAACCAATTGCTATTAAGGGTAACTGACTGGATTCCCAGAGAAGAAATATGACGAAGGGGAGACAAAAAGTTACGTGGGCCGATGAGATTAAAAAGTTTGCGTGTATGAAGTGGCAACGGAAAGCACAAAACCGGGTTGATTAGCAGACCATGAGAGAGGCCTTTGCCCTGCAGTGGTCGTACTGAGGCTGATGATGATGATGATGATGATGATGATGA